TGTTCTAATGTAATTTTTGGAATATAAAGTGATTTTAAGATGGGAGCATGAGAGTTACTTTTTCAATGCTCTGTGTCTAGCTTTTGCTAGTCATTTTCTTCTTTTTGTTTTCTACCTTCCTTCCTAGAATAACTGCAAAGTAGATGTGTATGTCTGTACCAGGAATCATCTCCTTGACTCCCTTAGGCCTTTTGACCTTCTCCAATACGTGTATCAGATAAAGGATAAACTGAAGTTTGTCTCTATTTAAACAGGCAAGATGAGCTTTGTTCAGAAAGCCATCTGATAAAAATGGACTAATGTATGGGCACTTTTTTCACTGCTTTGCTTACTTCTAAGTTGTTATGGAAGCCATAGCCCAGAGTGGCACTAGAAGACTGTGTCCTAGTGAGGGACAGCTCTTGGAGTCAGTTATGGCCTCATTTAGTCTTAGAGGTGTGAGTTTCAATCACTATTTTGGTATATCCTGAAGAGCACTCAAGTTAGTTCAGAGGATTGCTGTTAAAATGAGACTACAAGGTAGGAAATGTTATGTAGGTGATAGGTACAACTGTGGGCAGACAGATTTCTCAGTGAAACATGAAAATGTTTCATCTCTGGCTTGCAGCAGGTGACTCTCTGAGGAAAATAGTTCTTGAAGGTCTAAATATAATTCTAAACATATTATTTAGATTTATAGAATCAAGTCTTTGTCCTAGATTTCTTACTTGCCTTCATTTTTAGTGCAAGGTAGGATCACACATGTTAAAAAGCCTCCCTGAAAGCATTGGTGGCAAGCCAGACCAGAACTCACATGAGCATCTTCTTTACCAGGCAGTTTTAACATTTGAGAAGGATGTTTTTCATCTATCTTGGAAAACTGCACTGAAGCATCTGTTGATTTCATTAAAACACAAAGATTCATAGGTTATGAGGCCAGAAAGAGCCATTATGATAATCTAGGCTGATTTGCTACATAATTAATTCCTGCCTCACTATGTCTTTTAGGGAAAACAAGATACTATTTTAATTTAAAGTTTGCCAGTAGCAGAGAACACACAGTAACCTGTAGTAAATTATTTCAATAGCAAATTATCTCATGTAAAAATAAGTCATAATATTTTAAAATGTGAATTTCTCTAACTTCAATTTCTAGCCCCTGGATCCCATTATTCCTTTGTCACATGGATTGAAGAGCCCTCTATTGCCAAATTCCATTTTCAGCACAGCTACTCATAGATTGTAATCGAATCACCCTTTAACCTCTACCTATTAAGCATACTGAATTTGAATGTTCTTCGCTATGGGACATGCATTCCAGTCATTTAATTATATTCCCTTTTCTCATTCTTGAACCTTTGGTTTAACAATTGAACTGCGGATATAAGACGCTGCCTTAGCATTTCATTGCTCAAGCCAGAGATGCTTTGCCTCTCTATTCCTGCTCAGGATTCACCTTGGCTTTACACCCAAGGATTATTTTTATCCTTTTGTTTATAGTGCTGAGAATTCTGGTTTATACATCAAGATCTTGATGTCCAAATGTGGCTGTTGGCAATACCTCAAGTCAGCTATGTGAACACTTGTATTTTTTCCTTAAATACAGGTGCTTTTAAAATTTCTCAGGATAGGTTATGGGGTTGTTTTTTGGTTTGGTTGGTTTGTTTGTTTTTTTTTATTAGAAAATAATGTAGAACAACAAGCACTTGAATCATAAAGATTCTTATTGGGGTGGATCTGTTTCTTTGAAAAGATTGAATTCAGAACTCATGTATCTATTCAACACCCTTTCTCCTCTCTTCCCCAAGTCTTCCTTTGTGCTTGCTTTCTTAGTCCTTTTGTTCAAACTTGCTTTTAAATCCTCCATTGTTAGTGACTTTTTGGGTTACAAGTAACTCCATGTAATTTTCTCTAGATTCTTTGAAAGTCTTCTGTCTCAGAGATTCTCCAGCTGTGATACTCGTCTGACTAATGAAATACAAGGCAGCCTACAGCAAACCCCAAATAAATGGGGAAGCAGACTCTCTGTGTTTCCCCAGAATAGATGGGAATTGTTACTCAAGTCAAATACTTGAAAGGGGGAGATGTCACCTGTATGTGGCTCATCTGAGAGTTGGAAGTTGCTCATGTGGATGTGATCATATTTCTTCTGCCAGCAACCTGCAGAGGTTGCTGAGAGCAGATCACTGGGTGACAGCTAGATGCAACCCAGCACCAGTCATCAGTTGTATCTAGGGTATTGTGCTACCCATCTGCTCCTCTAATAGGGGGAAAGGCTGGGTCAAGATACAGTGTAGAGGGGTAATGGTTTGAGCAATTGTTAGTAGTATCCTATAAGGGCAGTTCTATGTTAGAACCACTAAAGTCCCAGTTCATTCATGCCTGATGTTCTCTTGAATGCCAGAATGACTCCACACTGGGTGAAACCAAGAATGCAGCATTCTGCCAAAGTCATACCAGTCAAGAAGTCCCATATATTTGTTCTGGCAGAAGGGCTCTGTCCACAGGAAACCATTTCCAGTTGCCATCTTTCCCAGGCTCTCCCTGCAGTGGGACAAGGAGTAGACTGCGGACAACCTGCAGTACACGTAAACTCATTAACAACATGAGAAGAGCTTTAGCAGGCCTGAAGAACAGTCAGTCCATTTCCCCAGTATTCTGCCTCCAGTAGTGCCAGGTGCAAGTCATATTTAGGGAGGGCATGCGAGCATGGCTACTGTCAGTGGTGCATTCCCCTTACACTCCCACAGCATCCACTGCTATTGGATTAGGATTATTAGAAGGTCTGTCTCTTCCTTTTTTAGCTAATACCAGTTTGTGGACTTGCTGTCCATTTATCTTTCTGGTTCTTTTTGAGCCTGCTGATGTGCTTTGCTTCTACAACTTCCTGTGGCAGCAAGTTCCAGAAGTTCACTACCCTCTCTATAAATAAGTACTTCTAAAAATCCATTTTAAACTGATAACCTACAAGTTTCAGCAAGTGCATCTAGTTCTGTGATTGCCAGATTTGGCAGTGAGAAGTTCCACGTTAACTTTCTTCATCTTTTGTACACTTTAGTAATTTTTTTTCTCAGTCCTCTCCAGATACAAGAGCTCTGGCCTTTTCAGGCTATCCTCATAAAACATCCTGCTCCATCCTTTTAATTGTTCTATTTATTTTCCTCTCTACCTTCAACTCCTCTGTTTCTTTGAGATGCAGAGACAGGACTGCATGCAGTGCTTGGAACTAGTGTCTGGCTGAGGTGCACCTCGTTGTGTGTCAAGAGAGGGAGGCTGTAACACACAGCCTTGCTGAGTCACTGGAAGGAGGTGTATGGTCTGTCTAGTGAGAGCATTTGACATGCTTAATTGCAAATTGAAAATATATTTTATTCCTGTTGCAGATACTAATAGACTTGATGTTTTTGAAGTCTGTGCGAGAGCAGAGCACTTTATTGGGAAGTGGAGCAAAAAAAAGCTATTGTGGGTCAATGCTGTCCTCTGCTGGGAGGAACTACAGCTTTGTGCCATGACTCCAAATGGGAATTAACAGCTGGCATCTCCTTTCACTCTGATGTAGGGTGTATTGCCTTTACAACAAGAAAATCTGATGCTGTGCTGGCTGCACTGGGGAAATTCTCCTTTAATAGCTTAGTGAAAACTGGAAATTCTTTGCTTGCTACAAATGTGTTGAATTGTAATTTCATTTAGTTTTCATCCTGAGGTAACCTGCTTTAGAAGCTTATCGCTCATTCTGTCTTTTGTATCTACTGCACACTCATTTCTCTGACTTTCCTGTCCTATTTGTAGAAATAACAATGTACATCTCCATTCCCTTCTCTTTTCATAACAATTGCTGACAACTCATCTTGCTAGCATTCTGAAAGCAGAAATCCAATGTGTGTGTGTGTATGCTGTAATAGACACAAAGTATTTTAAAATAATAATTTTATATAAGAAATAGGAGTCTTCAGTAGTGTTGCAGAACAGGAATCCAATCAAAATTGAATGCTAGTTGCAGAAATGCTTTGGTTTCCTGTATGTGCCAGCTCTGGGTTTAGGAAGCACGGAAGGTGGTCGAGAGGAAGTGCAGTTTACAAATATTTCGGTTTTGTGCCTTCTCCAGTCCCTGCCTCTGTGAGAATGGCGTGGGGCAGAGGGGGGTCCTCTTTGCAAGGAATTAATTCTGTACCTGTGATAAAGAGAAAGGCTGGAGGTCTGGACTCCTGAGCAAGGTGTGCATGCTCATGAGTGCTTGCCTGTTTGGGACTCTTTCCTTGGCTGACTTCTATCCATGTGGCAACCCAGAGTCCAGACCTCTGGTCCTTAACCCAGAAAGAGTCAGAGTCGAGGCACTGAATGTATACAGGCTTTTGTGTGTTACCACAGAGCATAGGTTTCTTGAAGCAAGATGAGCTGTGCAGATATCTCCATAGCACGTTTGCCTGTAGTGATCTAAGATTATTCGGTCTGTTTATTTTTTTTTTCTTGTAGCTGTTCAGGAGCCACAGGGCAGTCGCCAACAATTCACAGCAACTTGCTTAGCTTTTTTTTTTCACGTCTCTCTCTCCTAGTAGTTAAGTGGGCTTATAGGAATAATAGAGAAATGACACTGGTGGTACAGAGTTCCCTGCTGTGGCTAGCAGAGATGGACATGGGGGTTACATTTTGTTATGTATTTTGTATGGGATTTATGCTAATATAACAGCTTGATACCAGACACATGCTGTATCTTATGTACAAAAGCTTTTACAGCAGAGTGGGCCTGTGGTAGAGTTAATTGTTTTCACTGTCCTTCAGTTAAATGTTCTCTTCTGTCTGCTTATCTGATCTATAGTCATCACAAACTACCCTTTGCTGTCATTTCTATACACACTCCTGGCTGTGCTCTCTCCTTCTGTCATCATGTCAGACTCTTGCATGGTCTCCTTTCTGCTCCCCACTGCTTTTTGGGAGAAGTTTATCTCCCACGGCTGAAAGTAATTGGGGTATTTGTACTGTATGCAGGATTGATGTATGATACTTTTCCTTGCGTCTGGCAGGTTGTTTATAAGAATAATGACATTCGTCTGGAGCTGTCTCGCTTGGCACGGATTGGTGATACTAAGATGAAGATCTATGGGGAAGTGAAATTCGTATGTGAGAATGTGGCTACATTGGATCCCATCAGCTTTGAGACACCTGAGGCCTACATTAGTCTGCCTAAATGGAACACCAAAAGGATGGGCTCCATCTCATTTGATTTCCGAACCACTGAACCCAATGGACTGATCCTTTTCACCCATGGCAAGCCTCAGGAAAGGAAAGATGCCAGGAGCCAGAAAAATACAAAGGTAGACTTCTTTGCAGTTGAGCTTCTAGATGGGAACCTCTACTTGTTGCTGGACATGGGCTCTGGGACCATTAAAGTCAAGGCCACCCAGAAGAAAGCCAATGATGGAGAGTGGTATCATGTGGATATTCAACGAGATGGAAGATCAGGTAGAGTCATGACTTTTTCTCAAGTAGATTCATCTTTCAGATCAAGACCTAGGGCTGTGTATTAATTCTGAGAACCTTCAAAACCTGTTAGATATGAGTCACCTTCTTATGAAAACATCTTGTGATGTTTATCTAGCAAAGCAAAAATGTGAATGTCTAGGTTTTCGTTAAATGTTTAGTATAAACTTTGGATAGCATATCACAGGGGCAATCTATTAATATTTTATTCACAATCTTTAGATATTTCTGACCTATCTTTGCAGTTACAGTGATGACTTCTTTGTAGGCCACAGTAATATTTAATATCCTTCAGACTGATTATTATTTAGTTCTTAGTTTGAGAAATTCTCACTAACCTACTTTGGGTTTTTGTTCAAAAATAAACTTAGTAAAAACTAACAGAAAACTTATTGCTGTGACTTAATATTACCATTTTCTCCTGGATCTTGTGTCTCTAAAGAGCAGGGGTTTGGGATCTTGTCATGAGGAAAATAAGAGTAATGGGAACAACCAGTGACAGAATTATGGTGACGAATCAATATTTTAATCCTATTCTGTTTTCTTTAGTATCTTGTACTTTTCCATTAGGTTTCTTTATTCTCTTGAATGCCAAATTCTAGTCTTAATACCTGAATTAACATTCAGTGGATGTTCATTTGTTTCCTCACTGCTTCTAATTTTCAAAAATGTGTTTTATTTCTGATAACATACCTGGCATGCAATTACCCAGAGGTATTTTGTTTGTTTCTAGTGTGAGGTATCTAACCCAGTGGTAGCTAACCTACTCATGATGTACTGTAAAATTGTGTAAGGAAACAAAATGATCAAATACTGTAACTTCATCTTGAGAGTATGTGAACAGTTGTATCTGAATTCTTCCTGAACCACTGGGATCTCAAAACCTGGCTGTATGTCCCTTCAAAGGGAATTTTGTTGCATTTGCAAGTGCTTTTGGGATTAGTCTGGTGATCACCATATAATAGCTTTCGGTCCCTAATTTTATGTTTCCAGTTGCTGACTGCCATCAGTAGAGAACTCAGTGCTAGAATTTGCTTCCCTTGAGTTTTCAAAAGAGCTGACTTTTAGATACCATGCAAAGCCTAGCTGTTTGAACAGGTCTTTGCCTGAAGCTAGTCTTTTCTTTGATGATGTGAGGAATTTCTTTGTATTTGGCATAGTGCTCTACTAGGACTTAATATGTGTGGTTATGTATTGCTATCTCCTGAACACATCGATAGGAGCATTTTATAAAGGAAGCCATAAATAAATAAATGGAGCTTTGATTTCTTTAGAATTGCTAAAATTTAATTAACTTCCAAGGATAAACTCAATTAATTGCATTCAGTACTGCCTTCAGTTTTGCTTGCTCACGTGGGTACTGTCTCGTCCCTGGAGAGGCAGCTGCAGAAGGAGAAGAAACGAAAATGATACTAAGCTTCATTTAAGTTTGTAAAAACCTAGGAAGAGGGACAGAGATTCATTTGGACTAAGAGGCTGTGACAGACTGCATTGCTACTTGGTGGATGAGACTGTAGGAGTGACTTATTTGTTGCTTGGTAGGGAGGTTTCTGATGTTCTGGACACTGATGAGACATAACAGATTTTGAGTTAAAAGCACTTTGCTCAACAAGAATGAACACACCTCTATGTTTTTGTCTTTTTTTCCTTTTTAATTGCATTTTCTGCTGACTGTAAGTGCTGTGTTAATGGTCCTAGCAACTGATGTCTTGTCTCCCCAGAAAACCATGATAAAACCATTGATCTCTTCATACCGTACCTTTAGCAAGCATCAGACACTCTTACCTGGTGGTACTTCTGGTAGGTGTGGAAGGAAGTTCAGGATCTCTTCATGTTTAGTCGTTGGCTTTTCTCCCACATGTGGACCAGAGAACAGTTACACCTTGGAGATTTTTTTCTTTTTTTTCAATGTGGATGCCTGTCATCTAGAAACTGAACTGAAATAATGAACTTACTTAATGCAGGTGACAAAACAGCCATTTGTGTTTAATGAGCTAGGACCTAGAGGTTCTAATTCTCATTATTAAAGCAGCCAGGCTTTTATTAGGTGTCATCTCTCCCATTCTTCCCATTTCTGTAACAGTCCAAAACTTCAGGTTCTGCTGAGCTTGGTAAAATAGCCTGAAAATCCAAATATCCACTACTGCAACGTACTAAGACAGGAGTGCACGTGCTGGGGAAGCATGGCAGTCATGCTCAAATAACCTCTGGCACCTGTAGTCTTTCTAGGCTTTGTGTACAATTCTGTCTGTTCTTTCTCTCTACTTTGACAAAAGCAGACAGCATGGACATGCACACTTAGTTTCCTGTGACCTTTCTGTCCTTGAGGAAAGCTCCTACAAAGTGTCCACAAAATCTGTCACTGTTTCTAGCCGGGGAACACTGGGCAGATCACACAAGACTCCATTTTCAGCTGGCCATTGGCTACCAAACACACATGGTGTCCCTCCCGCTCACACACTAAGAATCTACTGGAAAGATCTGGTTGAGGTTTGCATCAGTGCACTGCTTTGTATTATCAGTTTTGCCCTCAGTAACTGGGGTCTTCTGGTCCATTCTTTAGCCCTGCACAAAGTGCCTAAGGGACTGGAAAGGAGATGGCTTGATGTTTCTGATTTCTTATTATGGGATTTGATCTATCTAAACAGAGTTGGGAACATGGGATTTGGAAAAATGAATACAGAAGGGATGTCAGCTTGTGTGACTGTTCCTTCCTAGGGTCAGTTCGGAATTTCTCTGTCTCAGGAGCTTGATCTTAAAATTGCTGTGCATGTGAGCTAGTACCATCTCCTTATGTGAATAGCTGCAGGGTACAAAACACTGGCAGAAGTTTAGGTTATTTCCTTTGATCATCATCTTTCTCTCTCTCCAGCTTTTACACTTTTCTTTGGTATCCAGTGTTTCTTCTCTTTTGGGTGTTTCTTTACCTTTGTGGCTTTTGCAGGTCATGTTTGCTTTCCCCATAAGTAGCAGCTGTCTGGAGCTTAGGCCTCTAATATTTTGGACTGTTCTGGTGTTTTGAGTAATATGTACTCCACATGCTGCTTTTGAGGAGTAACAGCAGAGATGCTGGAATGGGGGCTCTGTTCCTGTGGCTTCATGACATGCTGCTTTTATGACTGTAGGTGTATTGTCACATCTTCTCTTTTCCTACTTTGTAAAAGGGAAAATGTCTGTGGTGCTGCAGCTTGTTTTGCAAAATGATTCATCAAATAACCATGGTTCTCTTTGAGCCTTTAATTTGTAATGCCTTGGTTGCTTCTGGCACTCTGCTGCCTCTGACATTATTCCTAAATTATTACTGAACATCACACACATGAAATACCTTGTGTCTGTGTTATATGTGCTGTTCTCTAAGACGACACACATTACAGCTGAAGAAAAAGCATGTGTACACGACTGCACTTTCTCACAGAGAAACAAAATAGAGCTAACTCTATTAACTCTTCCACCTTATCATAGGGGTGTATGATAAAAATGCAATGATGTGAAATTAATCTTAAAGCTTGGATAGTTGTCTCTGAGGACAGGTATCTTAATAACAAGGCAGTTGGATGTGATGATTTATAGCCAGGGAGAGTGAACTGCTGATTCTTAGCTGTGTGTTTGGTGGGCAGATGTCCCTATCACAGAAGCTGCTGAATGCTTTTCTGAAGAGTACACTGCTTTTGGGCGCTAGACGAGCATTATGTTCCCTGTTTTCCTTTGGATGAGCTGTCTGACTTTAAACCAATCACTTAATTTGTCTGCACCTGTTTCCTGTATTCTAATTATATTTCTGTATTTTATGTTCTAATTGTTTTACATGTTGGGACAATTTCTTGAAAGATAGAGGAATGGCCTCAGTGCATTATGCCCACATCTTGCTTGGAGCATATGGAAGCTGCTAGCTGTAATAGTAACTGTTCTACAGAGATAACCTTTGTCTTTCTCTACCTTAATTTTTCTGTTTCTAAAATGGAAGTTAGAATACGTAACTTCCTTTGTAAAACCAAAGAATAATTTATTTTGGAACGAATTTTTGGAGGTATCTAGTCCAAACTCTGCTGAAATTGAAGCTTTCTTCAGGGTCATGTCAAGTTGTGTTTTGAATGCCTTCAGCATGGTTATTCTTCAACCTCTCTGAGGTTTCTCTTCACATGTTTGACCACCCTCATGGTGAAAAATGTTCCTTTCTCTGGAGTTGGAGTTTCTCTTGCTGCAACCTGTGATCAGAGTCTCTTGTCACTGCAAGTGCACACTGCTGACTCATGTCCAAATGATTGTCCACAACATCAAAGTCCTTTTCTGCAGAGTTGTTCTTTAGCCAGCTGTTTTCCAACCTGCACTTACATGTGAAGTTGTTCTACCCCAAGCATAGGACTTAGTATTTATTGTTGATTTATGTCAAGCATTTCAGTCTTTTGCTCCACCTTGTAAAAGTTTCTCTGCTACTGCCTTGTGTTTTCATTGCATCCACCATTCCCCCAAATTTTGATGTCCTCTCAAGCTTGATGAGGGTCTGCTTAGTTCCATCATCCAGGTCCGGTTTTGGACGTACTGATGAAGTATTTTCTAGAAAATCTATGTAATGTCAATTAATACACTTTTACTTATTTTTTTTCTTTTCATTCCTGATACCATCAAAATCCTGTATGTTCTCAGTAGGTCTTTGCTTTGTTGGATGAATACCATTGAATATGCTCAGTTTTTTCACACATGATTAGTTAACATTGAATTGTTATGCTTGTGTCCTTGTAATGCAAGTTGGGATACGAACAACATGATGATCAGTCACTGTGTAGAAGAATTCATGGCCTGTGGTTCAAGAGGAGAGGGAGCTGTGTGGTGTGCGGAAGACACTGTTTCTGTTAGGAGTTCATTTGGGTAGGGAGGAATCTTCATTTTCCTGCACTGCATCTCAAACCTTACTCAGTTACTGGGAAAAAAATGAACTAGACTGAGCCTGTAAGTGACAGTGGTAATGTTTCTTATTCTCCTCATTTAGGTACGATATCAGTGAACAGTAGACGCACCCCATTCACCGCCAGTGGCGAAAGTGAGATCCTCGATCTGGAAGGTGACATGTACCTCGGTGGGCTGCCTGAGAACCGGGCAGGACTCATCCTTCCCACAGAGCTCTGGACAGCGATGCTGAACTATGGCTACGTCGGCTGTATCCGAGACTTGTTCATCGATGGACGAAGCAAGAACATCCGGCAGTTGGCAGAGGCACAGAATGCTGCAGGAGTCAAGTCTTCTTGCTCCCGCCTCAGCACCAAGCAGTGCGACAGCTACCCATGTAAGAATAATGCCGTCTGCAAGGATGGCTGGAACCGCTTCATTTGTGACTGCACTGGCACCGGCTACTGGGGTAGAACATGTGAGCGAGGTAAGCTGAATTTTCTGACCTCAGTTACACAGAGATGAAGGAATGCAGAATGAGAACAATATCCAGTGTTTCCATGAGACTTTCCCTGCTCTTACTGGTCTTTCCATTGCTAAGTTCCAGTCCCTGCTACTTCTCTGATCGTTACCTTCCAGTCTTTCCCACCTTCATTTCATAAACTTACTTTCTTCATCTGCCACTTCATTCCCTAAGGCTTCTGAAAAAACTTTTCTTCAGGTTCCAGAGTTTCTTTGGCTAAGCATGGTTAGTCTCTTAAGGCAGAAAATACTGCTGCATGTGAGAAGTCTCACGCAAATTATTGGAAGCAGTACCACGTGTGAACCTGAGTTACGGAGATTTTTCTTCCATGGGACAGACAGTGTATCCTGACTTCGTTTAGTCTTTCTCTTTTTTGCATAGTAGGGTTTCCCCGATGGCTGTTCATGGGTAAAGCCAGCTAATGAGATAGCGTTAACATCAACATGTCTCCAAGTTCACCTCTGATAAGGCAAACCTGTAGGAGGTGTCAGGAAATTCCCTGCATCTTATTCTTACTCATTCTGACTGGTGATTTAAAGATTTATGATATGAGATATGAAGCAGAAGTAGTGCTGGTATAGGCAGGCAAAACGTATGTATTCTAGGTCACAAGGAACAGAATCTACTAATGTAAGGTATCTGAGCTATGTATTTCTCAAATACCAGGTGGTCCCATTAATTGTTATCCTTGTTGTGCTGGTGCCACCCTCAAAATGAGGGAGGTGAGTGGTTCAAAAGAACCCCCAAACAAACAGGGCTAAGATCACTGAGAAAAGAAAATATTCCTTTAAAAGGTTTATTCTTATATTGAAAGCAATCTTTCTGTTAATATTTTGCCATTGTATTGCATTCTTCTTGAACTGGACTCACATTACACCCAAGAATTCATTGTATACTGTTGGCAGAGTCTTAGGGCTTCCAACCCCTTCTTTCTATTACCTTACTTGGCACCACGGCCTAATGGTTATAGCATGTGTCTTAAAAGTGGCTGGTGCATAAGGGGAGGAAAGAAGGAGCAGGCTAGCTCTGTTAAAAAGAGACAGCTATTGGCCCTCTTTTCCTGTTTGCCATCTGTTATCTGAGGAGGACTGTCTCTTTACTCCGTCCTTAGACTTATGTCCTGTAAAGAGAGAGGAGTGTAACTCTTGGGTTTGCAGCCCAAGATGTAGGAGGAAGGGTTAAGGGGCAGGGGAGACCACAATAAGTAATCTTCTGTGCCTGTTGGTTACCAGGAAAATCACTCTTCATCACAAAGCAAAACACATACTTAACATTTAGTTAAGGTACTAAAAATACAGAAGACATATGTACAACTCCAGGAGAAGAAGCAGATGATTCATTTGTTGTTGGTTGTAAAGTCTACCTCCCATTTTCCCAGGTATAGCATTTTTACATTTATAATGCTGTATTTCTCATACATTTTATACTTTGCCATATGAAGGACTGCTATAAATCTAAAAGGAACTCAAAAAGGAAATTAGTTTTGTCATAGTTAGGAAATAGGTTTGGATTCCTTTTATTCATGGTGAAATAATACAAATACATGGCATTCAGTATATCACCTATATCTAAAGCCTGTGGGAGTTTGTCCAGTCAGTGAAGTAATACCTCTGTACATTCAGCAAGCTACACTGGATGCAATACAGACTTCGGTTGCAGTGATCTGCTCGGTCAGTACTTGTGTGCAGATGCAGAAACCTTGCTATGGCTGCAGTTTGAGAAGGTACAGAGTAGAGAACTGCTGCCAAGGCCTCAGATTCATTCTTACAATTCCAGTATCTCATCAGTCATTCAGTATTTGCAGTGATGCAAGCAGACAAAGTTGTTTTCAGTCTTAAAGTGCCCTGGCTTCTAGAGGTACTGAAGTCCCTAATTGCCCCTCCTTGGGGTAATTGAAATTGCAAAGAAGAGATGGGGTGAGACATGGCAAAGACTAGTTCATGTCTGATATGACTTCCACCCAAGGAGTGGGGGAAGTGGGGGAGTCAAAAAGGACTGCTCTGGTTCTTTTGTTAACTGTATGTTTTTCTTGTACTAACTAGGAAAGAATGTTCTTGTGAGACAAATTGTGAAGGCTTCTGTGGGATATACTTATATTCAAGTCCTTGCTGTAGAAACTAGAGTGAATGGACGTCAGTGTTTGATCCTCAGAAAGGCTGAGACAAATTACCTCATCTAAACAAGACTCTCTTTAGTCTTCATAAAAGACTTTGTAGCCAGTGGCAGGGGACACAGAGGGGAGAGGAGATGAAAGTGCAATGGGATTCATGGGCAGAAGTTCTCAGTGAACATAGTCAGGCTATGAGGCTGAGCAAAGGCAGCAGCAAATGCTGGTATTTAGCAAGAGGTGTTTCCATTTCACACCTTCCACCACAGGCTGTTAACACACCATTAGTTATTTATTTTCTTAAATCCTTGAGCTCCCCTTTTTCTATCATCTTTCCTTATGGTTCTCTGCTACCTAGTCTAACTCAGTGTGACAATGTTGGAAATCATGTGTGAGAAGAGTCTTTTCGAGCCACTGTTAAAATTAAGGTGCTGCTATAAACAGAGAAGCATTTGGACGAGATGCCGCAGTAGCTGTTGGAAGAGAACAGTGGCGTGGCTAACCACCAGGCTAGGGAATAAGATTCTGTTGGCTTTGCAAGTGGCGTCAACTCAGCTAAAGTAGTGTTGTGACTTCCTTCTTTAGATGCCTTGGATAAGTACTCTTGAGATTAAAAAAAGTAGAAGCCTGGCAATGAGGACCTCTGCTAACGTTTAAGTTCCCTGTGCAGTCAGTGGAGGGAGGTAGTTGCTTCTTAGGAGAAATTCGAAGCAATAACATGATGTGCTTGCATCCCTTTGTTGATTTGCCGGTCTTCTTTTATTGATTATGTTCAGATTCTGGTCTGATAATTCAGTGTTGCTGCACTCCAGAAGGTGACTGTGCTGTGAAGGAATTGATAGTTCCAAGCTGCCAAGGCTACCAGAACGACAAAAAAGAGGATGTCTTGTTTGGGGTGGGGGCATAAAGCAAATAGAAAATAAGCTACTAGACAGGACACAATCCCTCCTGCAAGTGATGTTCTGAGCGCTTTATAATGTGGTAACGATCTTGCCTCCCCCTGCTCCCTGAGCTCTCCTGCATTCCTATTATATCTGATTAGAATATGTTTGGTGGAGAGCAAGGTTTAATCATGCCAGGAAGACTCCTAAACTGAAAGGTAGGTTTTGGGTTTCTCTGAAATGAATGGCAGGCACAGCAGAGTGGATTCGTGATGGAAGTTACGATTGCAAGTATATATTGAGGCTTTATATTGAGTTTGCTAGGTCTTGGGTTGTAGTGTGTGGGGCACTAGGGGGATAAAAAAAATCGTTGGAGGTTGTACTTCTGGTAGTATTTAGTCATTCTTGAATCCTAGGGTTTTAGAAAGGAGTATCAGAGAACAGTGTATGCAGTGCAGCCCCTCTATTCTTCAGTATGTTATTCCAACAGGTCTGCCATTTTGCTAATTAGTTTGAAACAAAGGACATAAAATACCTGAAAGCCCATGGGAATGCTTCCCAAATGTTTTCCAGTCATCAGAGATGGTGCAGGCTTTGGGAGAACTGACAAAAAGGATCCAACGCAATGGGTAGCACACTTCCTCCTGTTGCATGTGAACAACCTTCACATACCAAACCCCATAGAAATTAGGGTGAGTTGCAATTCTTGTCAGCAAGGTGAGCTGGAGGGCTGTTACAGACATGCAGTAAGGTGGGAGGGATGCATTCGTGCAGCTACTTGTGAAGGGTCTTTAGTGTTTTTTAAGTACTTAATGTACTTAAGCCTTTGGCTTCTAATTTGTTAGTATTTGACATCAGTTGCAGCATTAGGTCACTGCAGCCCCGTGTTAATTGCACTTAGGGTGTTAGAGGTAGGAGTTGGATCTTGTCATGGAGGATGATATACTTTGCTGTGATACAAAGTACCTCCTCACAACCTGTGGACTTTTCTGAAAAAGACCCCAAAGCCCTGGCATTGAACAGGCAGGGGAGGGGAGTGTTATGTTCGCATTAGCTATTTTCTGTAGCTGCACTGTAATTTTCATGGCTCAAGAAATTGCATGAGGTCTATTCTACTGCAGATCCCAAAGGCTCTCCACGTGCTTTCCTTCTACTGAAACACTGGGAGAGGGACTGCAGAGGGCAAAAGCTCAGGAAGGACGCAAAGCAAAAGATGACTTAAAATCAGATCATTTTAGGCCAATGAAAATCAAATCTTGTTGTTCACTCACTTTTTAATGCTTTCTCCTACTTAAGTGCCTTGATTGGACTTTTAATTTTTATTAAGAGGTATATACTGATAACGTTAGAGAAAGGTTGGTCTGAGCTGCTGTCCATTTAAGACTGAAATAAAAGACACTGAGGTTTAGATTTTAAACCTTTGAAGTTAATTGCTCAGAACTGTCTGTAGCCTGAGTCCTTTCCAGGTAACAAAAATAAAAGTCTTGGTACAGCCCTTTCCTTTTGCTGAGCTGCACCCAGTGTTTGTTGCAGCAAGACAGAGATAGCTCACTCCAGTTCTCCTTCCAAGGGCTGGATCCAGTGTCCCTTCCTGTTTGGGTTTGCTCACAGATGGATGGTTAACATCCTGAGCAAACCAGGATTTTTCTGGTTTGTGGCAGACAGTGTATCTGCTGTTGGCAATGCCAATGTTGAGCATAGGGCTGCACATTTTATTACCTGCCAAGTACCTTTACAGCAATGTTAGCTAAGAATAATTTAATGACAACACACATCTGTCCATTATGTATGCAATAAATGGAGATGTTGTAAAATTACTGGTAATAAGAAATGCTACAAAACCATTTACTACATGGTTTAAGTGCTGCTTGCATTGCTGTGTCAAGCACAAGTAGCAGCATAGATTTCTTTGTCATTTTAGTGAAGATGTTTGCTGATGATTCCATATTTGAAGGTTTGTTTAAAAAGCTCAAATG